TAAGAAGAGAGGAGGCAGGCTTCGGACAGGCCACAGAGAGGCCGCAACAGGCCGGCCAGCTGGTGAGGCCTCGGACAGGCCTTTGGAAGTGCTTGGAAGGGTTCTGCTAGGCTTGGCCAACTGCTGCATCCTGCGCCTTTGGAAGTGCTTGAAGGGTTCTGCTAGGCTTGGCCAACTGCTTCACCCTGCGGTGTCCCAGGCGCCTCCCCGCCTAGGCTTTGGCTATAGGCCGGGGTCGGCGGATATATTATACGTATATATAAATAAATATGTATTTATATATATATATACTATACATACACGGTTCTTGCATCATTGTGATGATGGGCACAGACACCCTAGAGCCGGATGCACATACCCGTGTTCGTGTTCGCCCACAGTCGGCCGTATTCCTCGGGAAAACCGAGGTTATCCATTTGGTGGAAGATGTCAGATCGGTCACTTCGGCCCAACACATTTACCTTGAATGCAGCGATGTCAGCGTGTCGCCAGGGACATCTCTGGGAGTCGTGTCTTTGGCTCTTTGCATCCACAGCCACCAAAGGCATCACAGTGGACACCATCAGTCTGAACACCTGCTTAAGCGCCTATGGACAACACCGTGCCATTATAGATGAATCGAACAATTTTTTGTGCAGTTACTTTTCTCTCCTCATTCTTTTGTAAATGGTCTTCGGACCAGCTAGGGCTGCCAAGACATTACTGCAACTTAGTAACTTGACACCCCCCGTCGTCACCCTTTGATCGTTTAACTTTTTGGGTGTGACATCGGGCTTTTGCCACCCAGGCTGGAGGTGGAGATCAGCGCTGAATCTTTTGATGGCACATCACTTGCAGCTTGATACCTTCACCTACACGGCACCTAGGCAACAAGTGGATAGATTCGTCCCTCCTAAATGAAGAAACACCTAGAAAACATGCAGTGTTTGAAGCCTCCTCCAAAGAGGATTCACATCTTCTGTCCTATTTGAGCAGCACTGCCACTGCTGCATCGTATGTCGATGTGTATAGTGACAATAGTGACATGAATCATTCAGTGAGCGACCTCCGACTCGCGCTGTTGTTGATTCAGGCCCTCTTCGGTGCAAGCAAGGGACAGTGGTGGCTGGCCAGAGCTTGTCTGGAGTCATATCACCAAGGTTCATCTCAGCATCCAAGCAAGGAGTTCCGCCCCTTGCCAAGGAGTGGAGGAGTTCCTTTTCCATTTGTTCTTTTCTTTCTTACTTTTGTTTTTCTCCTTTTTCTCTACCATTTTTCATGATTTGTTTGGGTGCTTCAGATGGAGCCGGCCATTGGCCCGTTCAGATGCGGACCCGACCTTTCGATGGGGCCTTTCGTGGTATTTTGGTTTGCGCGTTCCGAAGGCCCTTTGAACAGATCTCCCCCGGTTCAAAAAAACGCCTTTCCGAGGCAATGCATACATGTCAGCGGCTTTAAGGGACTGCGACTGGGATGCTGCCATCGCTCTGCTCGCGGACGGGCGGGAGGCAACGGCTCGCGATGCGATCACCTTCAAGATCTTGTCCAGAGCCTCAGCTGGAAGATGCTGGAAGGTGGCCAGGTGGCGCACCTGGATTCTTGGACCCCCCCAAAATGACTTGGGTGGATCCAGACCTTGCTTGGAGATGGTTTTTTTTAAAACATATCCTCTCCATGTCATGCATACAAAACATATATATAACTATATATACATATATTATACATATATAGGGAGAGCTAGGTCGGCCGCGTGCTACTCGGTGAGGATTTTGGGGCCGATCTAGTGCCTGGCAAACTTCC